ATCAAGATAACTTTTTTTGACACATTCCAAAAATTTTTGCTTTCTAGCTTGTAATCCTTTCACATATTTTATACTTTCTCTAACATTAAGAACAGATATATCAACCTCCTTCAATCTCTCTTGCACGATAAGATTCACAACATGAGCACAACATTTTATGTGGAAAAATTCACCTTTACAGAACAATGCACCACACACATTTAATTGGTTTCTTAAGAATTCAGCATAAACATTGTTAGCTGAATCATTGTCAAGAGTTATACTGAATATTCTATTTTGAATTTTCCATTCAGTTAAAAAATAGTGAAGCTTCTCGCACAAAGCAATACCACCATGTGGTGGTGGCATAAAATCAAAATTGATTATTTTTTTTTGCAACCAGTTGTTATCAATGAAATGTGCAGTCAAGCAAATGAACCCATCTGTATTAATTGATGTCCATAAGTCAGAAGTCAATGAAACTCTACTATTACTTTTTAGAATCTCCTTTTGAAGAAGGCATTTCTCTTTAGTAAACATTTTCTTGCAATCACTTCTAGCAGTGTTTCTAGATACTATTTGAAGATCACGACGGAGATATTGCAATAAAGAATGTAGACCAGGCCATTCAACACACTGAAAGGAAGATCATGCATGATTATGCAAGAAGTGAATAACTCATGAAACTCATGAATGTCAGTCATAGAGACAGTCGAAGTAGCATTTGAATGTAGAATAAGTTGCCCAATATCACGAGTGTCTCTTTTTTTACAATTTTGTATATGACGTCTTAAATTGCCAGTGCCATACTTGCTATCACACTGATATATTGCCCCACATCTTCTACATTTACATCTCTGCTTGCCATCACTAGGAGGGGGTAACATCTTATAATAACCCCAATCCGTTGAACACATTCTTCGTCTTTTCTTAGTGGATGACGGGTATCTCCTTCTTTTTCAATAATATTACACAAATCATCACCGTCTTTTTTAATGTCAATTGAAATAGGAGCATTTCCTACTTCCACATTCTCAATGAATGGAGTATTTTCTAACACTGTATTAGAATCTTCCATCTATTCAACAACAACATTATATAAATTATAAACAACTATTCAATCACAAAGACACAAACTAATACTGTGATACATGGCTCCACCTCCAATAATAACAATATATAAAAAACTATGACAAATTGACAATAACAACATTAACATTAAATAACATTTAAATGTTTAAGCTAAAAGCCCAAGGCTACAGCCTAAAGGACCACAGGTGACTCCAAACTCCCCAGGACCACAGAGGCACAGCACACGGCTACAACCTATAGCTAAAAGCCTAAGATCAATTAAAAATCAATCCACGGCCACAACCACAACTACAAGAAATAACTTAAAGTCTTAAACAAAGTTAAAAACCTAAAATCAATTACATAACGACGACGACGAAGTACAGACAACGAACATGAACAGAGCGACAAAGGGTGAAAGGGATTTCAGTTAAACTCAAATATTGCTAATAATGCAATCAAACATAAATAAAATCTTGAAAATCAGTAAAGAATAAAAGAAATAAGTGATAAATCAACTCTAGGGTTTTCTAATCACGAAATCTTCACAGCATCACCTAGGATTTCTGCTTGAGAAATGAGAAACTCATAATAAAGAGAAAAAAAAATATTGTCATTTACCGAGTAATAATCATATCAAAACATTATATCCAAAAGATCAAAAGGAAATTCATGTTCTCGATTATGACGACATGGGGAGAGAACGAGACTTCAAGGGGAGAAGAAGACTTAAAATCAGAATTCATCACCTGCGATTCTTGCGAAATCAATCAAACAACAACCGCTAAATCATGAAAGAGGAATAGGAAAGGTGGAAAACTAGGACAACTGGGCAAGGGCCTTGATGCAGGCAAGGTGGGGGGGGGGGTCAAAACAAAATGATTTTTTTTTCTTTGGGCTCTTATTGTCTCATGGTTGGGTCCTTGACTGATTTGGTTTTGAGTTGAAATTTTGGGAATTAAGTGGTTCTAGCTCATAAATGTTTGAGCTGATGTTTTAGTTCATTAATTGGAAGAGTCTTTGCACTTGATAGCTCATTAATGGAGTGATTTCTATGCCTCTTTCCTTTCCCTATGTCCCCTTGATTTCCTCCCCTTGGCGCCTCTTCCCCTTCTTGTGTCTCTTTGGTTTCTTCTATGTGAATAAAGGCTGTGGGCTGCTTTCCCGTGACTGCTCTGTCTCGTTTCCTATGCTGGCTCCTCGGGTCCCTTGTTGGCTGGGTTTCCCGTGGCTTGCTGGCTGGCTTTCCCGTGGCCTTCCTTCCTGTTTTTTGTGCAGTTTTTTGTGAGCTGTTTGTGGTCTCTTTTGGCCCTTCTTCTTCCCCTTCCTAATGGGATTAATTGGGGTTTTATGTGGCTGTTCAGGTGTTGTTTCAGTGATTGTTTGGGTGATGTTTTGGTCTGGCTTATGTTATGGATTGGGAGCAATACTTATGCAAAGCCACTGACCCATCGCTTACGTTAGCCAATTGTTGATAGCTAGAGCCAGGTGTTAGAGGATTATTACAGCCCTTAGCTCTGTTAGATCGGATGTCGGAGGAGGTCTCCATAGATTTTATAGATGGGTTGCCTCGATCAGAAGGGCTTATAGTGATTCTAGTGGTGGTAGATAGATTGAGCAAGTATGGTCGCTTTATTCTCCTACGACACCCTTACATTGCAGTGATAGTTACAGCAACATTCATCAGAGACATGGTCAAATTTCATGGGATATCTGAGTTTTAAATATTCGACAGGGATAAGGTATTCCTTAGCCACTTTTGGAGGGAACTATTTAGGCTACAAGGGACGATATTTAAGAGGAGCTTCACTTACCACCTGCAGACATATGGGCAGACAAAGTTGGTAAATAGGAGCTTGGAGTCCTACATATGCTGCTTTGTGTTAGAGACACCTAGGATGTGGGCCAAGTGGTTAGCATGAGCGGAGTATGAGTACAACACTCATATCACTCTGCCTCCCAGATGACCTCATTCAAAGTGTTGTACGAATGAGACCCACCTCACCTGTACATTTTGGGAAGAGTAGCACTCCAGTTTCGTCATTAGAGGAATACCTGGAGGAGACAAACATGGTGTTAGAAGAGTTAAAAAGGCATCTTTTGAGGGCTTAATAGATTATGAAGATACAAATGAATGGGCATAGGAAGGACATCAAGTTCAAAGTGGGTTATAAAGGTGTTCCTGAAGCTTCAACTGTATAGACAAAAGACGATCGCTCATTGGAGGAATGAGAAGCTGGCTTCAAGATATTTTGGCCCTTATGAGATGGTAGAGATAATCAGAGTAGTGGTGTATCGTTTGAGGTTGCCCCTAATCGCCACCATATATGAAGTATTTCATGTATCACATTTGAGGAGAGCTGTGTGGGATCACCCATTGAGTTCAGAGCGGTCAACAACATTGGTTGAAAATTGGAAGAGGTACTGGAAGGGGTGCAGCATGTCGAGGGAGGAATTAAGGAGGTGTTGATCAAGTGGAGGGATCTTCTCTATTATGACGCTACATGGGAGCCTTACGAGAGGGTGAAATTTCAGTTCCCATCTTTCTACCTTGAGGACAAGGTGGTTCTTTGGGAGCGGGGTATTGATACACATGAACCGGTCTAGGAGGGATCGGTCCAGCCAGCCCAACCCTTAGGCCGGCTCAGATATTACACTTGGCACCAATTCCTGCCCCCCTCTTGGGATGGGATCCATTACCTAATGGAGTTTGTATGGGGTGCCGTTTAGTCCTTTTGCTTTTGTTTTGTAATTTGCTTTAAGTAGAAGTTTGAATTAGGGTTAGGACATCTTTTTGGTGGCTGATTTTTTTGAGTGCTTTTGGTGTTCTTGGGCTCTAGCGGCATCTAGAGAGTTTTGGAGAGATTGATCCTCCTCTTGAATAGAGCATCACTTGTATCTTTGTATTTTCCGGTTCCTATCTTCAAATAATACAAAATATCTACTGTTTTCTGGCTTTTCTTGGAGTTTTATAGATATTTCTCGCTGATTTCCCAAGATTGATAAGTTTCACTTGAAAACTACAAGTGTTTACTATCAGTGTGCTCTGCCAACAGCTCGGACTATCCTAGTTTGATTTGAAGTCTAATTATGGAGCGTTGTTGAGTCGTTGACTGTTCTCGAAGTCAAAATTTTGGGCAATTTTATAAGATTTTGAGTCAATTTTCTAGGCCTTCTGCACTAAAAGGCATTGTGGGCATTGCTTAAAGATCTACACACAAGGCTGCAACCAATTGGTTTATCATGTTTCATGGCCTTGAGGGGATCCATGTTTACGGACACGAATAGTTCCTCCTTAAAATTTCCCTAGGTTGCTATTTTCAGGTAACAAACGTGCAAAATATTGAGTATTTGTGAACTTGCAGATACGAATGTTTGAAAATAGTGCGACAAATGATGTGGCTTGCAAAATTCAATTGGATTCTGTCCAACAACGTAAAAATCATTCATGACCTTAAAATTAAAACTTAAGATAAAAGCAGTTGGTGAAGACTTAGCCAAATAGACTTGCAATACCATGTTGCAGCTCCGCCACATGTGCTACTAACTGCTTTAGTGTAATGGTTCTATGGCCTTTCCCAAGGAAATCTTGAACCCTGAAAGAAAGGAGGATATTTCCAATAGCACAGTATGGTAGGGGTAGACCTAAAAAGACTTGGTTAGAAAATATTAGGAATGACCTTTCTTAGTTTCTTTATTAGATTTAAACGAGAATTTGACTTTTAATAGGACACAATGGAGAAAAAAGATTCATGTAGCCGACCCCACGTAGTGGGATAAAGGCTTGATGTTGTTGTTGTTGTTGTTGTTGTATAAGATAAATTTTAATTTCTATTGCCTTGAGTTTTTGAGCAACGAGCTCCGCAGAAGGCTGGTTTTGGGAACTCTAGTTGTATACTTTCTTCAAAAGAATTATGAAGTAATAATCTTATTGATGCTTACATTTACAGGAGAATACTCCTTTTTGTGGAATTGACTGTAATGATGTTGGTACGAACAACATGCAAGAGCAGAACGTCTTTGAGACATTGATTGGGAAACAGCAGCAGATCCTCCTTGCAACGCAGGTCGTCAAGATGATTCTTAAGATTGATGATGTGATTTCTCCATCTGAGTATTAATTTGAATTTTTTTTTCCTGCGTTTGTATCCCTATGTTTAAAGCCTTGTTTGTTTTGCTGTATTGTTAGTCTGACCGGGTTGCAAGAATTTTGTCTAATTATTGGATCAGTTTTAAGCTGTATTTTAAGAATGTGTTATGCTCATCTTAACTAGCTCGTATGTAATTTTAAGTGGTTTTGGAGAATGTGCTATGCTCATCTTAACTTAGATGTAATGAAAATTGCAATTTTAATATCGGTTGATTTGTCCCTTTTTTTTGTCTTTAGTCGTACTTTGTTAAACTCTCATTTATGTTAGAAAATTTGGCTTTACATGCCTTATTCTTAATCATAGAGTCATCTTTTGTATTTGTTATACTTGTTGTTGGACAAATATATTTCTTATTTTGTTAATAGGATTGGTTTGAAAATTTATTTTAGATGAAATTATTCTTGATGAAAGAATCAAGTCTTAAATTTGTGAATTGTTCATTAAATTTGTAAATCATTTGAACTTTTGTTCAAATTTGGCTTTAACATATATTTTTGGGCTAGCATTCTTTAAAATAAGGGTCAAACTTGGTTGAATCCTTGTGGGCATATGTTTATGGGACTAGTGTGTGAAGGAGAAAATGTTGATCTTCGTATGTGTTATGATCAATTGATTGCGTCGGGGGAGGTGACTAGTGGACATGTTCGGAATGAACATTGAAGCGTCTTGATTATGCATTAAGGCTTCGTTTGGGATGACTTTCTTCCTGCTTTATGAAGTAGTTTTTTAATACAAAAATTAAAACTTTTATATTGGAAAGATGTTTTAAGAAGTAAGAAAGCCGTCTCAAATGAAACCTAAGTCAATCAACTTAATTCATTTGGTAAGCTAATCGCACTAATGCATGTCGAATTTACCAAAGAAATATAGGTCATGAACGATTTTATTGAACAACAACAAAAAATGTGATGGTTGGCTGGCATGATATCGCACAAAATTCTTCAAATAATGTCTAATTAAAAAAAGAGCTGCACTGAGTATGAGTATATGGGACATTGAATTTATTTAAGGGAGACCTATCATACACGAGTTGAGCGAGGGTGGTCGAAAATGAGGTCTATGTATGTGATGTTACATGACATTGTCCCAAATGATGTTATTTTAGAAAATGAACTTCATCGATTCGGAATGTCGAAATTATTCGAAATGAATATTTATGTCGAAATTATTCAAAATGAATATTTATATTGCTTGGTTGTCACATGAGTCTAGCAATTAAATTTGCTAGCATGAGGCAATGATGACAAATTTTGAGGTGAACATAAAAGGACTGATGAATTGAGTGGGGACAATTGACATGCATTTGTTTATTTGAGTACATAATTGATTTTAGGGGGTTTTACATGCATACCATTTTATTTTATTCTATTTACATATCTAACATCCAAAACATTAATATTACATGACTACCACCCATAGAATAAATTTGGGTGCATGAAATGAAATATTAAAGCTTATAGGATTGTATGAATGATATAAATGAATTATAGGAGTGGCATATTTGATATTAAAGTTGTATATGGGTGGTAGGCATGTAATATTAATGTTTTGGGTGTTAGATATGTAAATAGCATAAAATAAAATAGTATGTATGTAAATTTCCCTTGATTTTATCTCATATCAAATATATATATCATTATGTATAATTAAATTTCAAAAATTTATTAAACTATTAAAATCCTAATCCCATATCATGCCAATCTTCCCTCCATTTGCGAATTCGGAACCTAATCTTTATTATAGCTCCCCTTGGTTGATGAGAAATTATTACGTGCGGAGTCCAGACGTTGCTTTGTCTCTAGACCAATGAAATCGTGATAAGTTGATTGGACACGTGGATATTTAATATAGATTTATTTTTTTCTTCTCTTGCAAGCCCGATTTAGAGGTGAAAATTTTGAATTCGTGGTAGATCAAAAGTTGCGGAGTCGGTTCACTTTTTATCTTTGTCGCCATTAGAGACAGTTCACTGTTGACTTTTCATCTTCAACATTGCAGATTTAAAAGGCTAAATGGGAAGCTTATTTCTTGTGTATTGGTGATTATTATTGTGGAGAGTGTAAGTGTGCAAGGCTGTTGGAAGTGGCTAGTCATTTATTCATATTGTGTTAGTCCACTAAGAATCTAAAGGAGGAAGGAGATCAAGGAATCTATAATTTAGTTGTATAGAATTTTCTTGTGATTTTTATCCTTACTTACCTCTTGTACTGTTATTTTTATTTTGAAATGAAGCATGTTTTGTTTTGTTTAAATTCCATATGGCTAAAACCTTTCCTCTAGGCTTATTAGAAGCCTTGTTCTACTTTAGTTAGATTTATAATTATATGATTTATTCAATGTTATTTTTAAATCCTTCATACTTAATTTAGTTTATGTAGAGGTATTGTATGAGCTTAAAATATAATGTGATTTACTATCGCAATAGAGGAGTAGAAGAACAATTAGGGGATTTAAAACATAAATTTTCCATGCATAGACATATGGTGGTTAGGGTTATAAGATATTAATGAGATATTAGAACTACAATTGAGAGAAATATTAATTAACATTCTAATAAATTTGATAGAGATGAGGAATTATTATGCTTTTATTCAGAACAACATTAGGATAATTTACTATTTCAAACATAAGTTCTTAAATGTAATAGGATCATAGTATTTTAAATATAGAATTTGCTTCTTCAACCCGTAAATATTAATTGTCAATTGCACACCCTTTTTATTCGATCAAAAAGATAAATTAAGTAGTTCATATATGTAGTACCAGAAAGACCTTAGGATCATTCAAATTATCGTGTGAATTATACTCAACTTATCACTTTGTTGCTTGACACTATATATATACTTACATAGAACATGATTCATATCACAATATAACAAGCAATAAAAATCTAGAACTCACTAGAAATCTTATCAAGTTTTTGGTGTTGTTTCCTTGGATTGTAGTTAATTATCCTTTTTTTGGTAGTTAATTATCCTTTCTTACACTTTAGATTGCTAAATAGATTGATGATTTAAATCTTATCCTTATCTTTATTTAACTTGTTTTATGTTGCCATTGTTATTTAACTTGTATGGTTTTTTTATTTAATTTATTTTTAGTATTGTTGTATGGTTAATTATTCAACAGTGCAGTGCTTTTCACTTCTTATATTGTAAATTTTAATTTTGGGGGAACTTGGTTTGATTAGAAAGAACTCTCAAGGAAAAGTGAAAATCTAAAAAAATACAAAAATAATTAAATTTTTTTGACTCGATTTATGAGAATTACGACCTAGATCACTTAGAGAATATGCTAATTTTTTGGTTGAGGGTATTAACCAAAGTTTTAGTAGACCAAATATTCTGGCTAAAACCTTTGAGCTAAACTTTCTATCATCCAAATGGTAAAAATTCTCAATTTAGGGGAACCTCTATTGAAGATCCCAAATATCATGTAGCTAGTTTCTGGGAGATATGTGCTACATTCAAATATATTAGAGTCTCTTATGATGCTGTTAGACTTAAGTTATTTTTGTTCTCATTAAGGGATAAAGCTAAGATGTGGTTGAACTTTTTTTTCCATTCCCAATCACCACATTTTTTTTTTAATTTTATTTGTTTTTTTTTTAAATTTTTTTTTTAAAAATTTGGATAATCCATTCTCAATCACCACATAGAATGACCTAGTTCCCAAATTTTTAGCAAAGTATTTTCTCCATCTAAAATTACAAAACATGGGAACAACATTACCTCATTCACACAATTGGATGGAGCGTCAACTTATGAATCATGGGAGAGATTCAATGAAATACTTATTAAGTGTCCCCACTATGCATTACCCAATTTGCTTACTATTCACACATTTTATGATGGTCTTGTAGGTTCTTAGATCCAATATAGATGTAGATGTTGGAGGTTCTTTGATTTTGAACCCTTTGACAAAACACATGCTTGATTGAAGAAATGTCCACTAACAATTTTAATGGTCACTTGAGAGAGTGAACCCTAAAAAAGCGGCTAGTTTATATAAATCTTATGCTTTATCAATTTTAACTGCACAAGTACTTGTTATATCCAAAAAGCTAGATAACATTGGAGTTATTACATCCCAAAGCACACTTTTTCCAACAAAAAATGTATGTATGAATCATTTAGTGACCCAAGAACATCAAGACTTGAATCATCAAATGCCATCGGTAATAGACAAAATAACTCTTTCTATAATACTTATAAACCAGGTTGGCGCAATCACCCTAACTTTAATTGGAGTTTTAATTAGAATGGGGGTAGTAAATGGAATTCTAGCCAACCTAATCATGTAGGAAATTAGAACACACCACCTTAGAACTATGGAAATCCAAGGCCTAATTATCCACCTGGATTTAGTTTGAATAATTAAATTAAGGATAAAAAACATTCTTTGAAAGATTTAATTTTGTAAATGGGAACCCAATTATATAGCCAAGCTATTGGAACAAGAAATATTAAAAATTAATTATGGTAGTTAAATATCTCTTTCAGTAGTAGACCTTAGGGAATCTTGCCTAGTAATACAAAGCTAAATCCTAAGGAAAAAGGTAAGGACCATTGCAAAGCTATGCAATTGAAGAGTGGAAGAGAGTTAGAGGATGTGGTTAGGAAGGAGAAGAAGATTATAGAAGAAATTCTTGAAGAAGCACCCATAGAGCCTACCAAACCCGAAGAACCTTAGCCCATTAAGGAAGTAGAAAAACTAGTTATAAAGGTTACTGAAACACCACCACCAAATTTTATTCAGAGAATATTAAAGAATGCTTAAAAGTTTATAAGTAACATACCTTTTATGTAAGCTATATGAAGCGGATGCTCTCGAACATGAGTTATATTAAACATAATATTTAATCAAATGAGAATTAAGACTTCATTTAAAATAATTTTCTTGCAGCTTTCTTTCTAAAACAAAATTTTAATAAAAAATCTTAAAAATAATAAAAAATTGTAGATATTTCACAAGGACCAAATAGGCTGGATCTTATAAATGAAATATTTATAAGCTAGACAATGATGATATTGAAGAATTATTGACCCCTATCGCCTCTCTGGCAGGCTCCTTTTAAATATTATCAGTACAAACATTTAATACAAATCAACGTGACAACCTTCTCTGCCTGTCTTTGGAATGTTTTTATTATTTTCTACAGTAATAAAGTAGATCAAATCACATAACAGGCGATCCGTCCATACAAACGCTCCACCTTTCATTAGGAAAATTAAATGGATTTAACCTTTCATTAGGAAGGAAAATTAATAGTGGATCATATGGTGAAAGCGGTACAAAAAAGAGATCAAGCAAAAATACAGGAAAATCTGCAGAATTTCCGTTTGTTCACAATATAAAAATGGAGCTTCAGTGCTGCGCCGTCTCAGGCGGGTCCTGTGGCGAATGTCTCACTTCTGGCGCAGCCCCAGAGCCCAGACCTCCACCTCCGCCGTCGCCAGAGCTCCGCCGATCAGCATCCGCAGGCTGCGGGTGGTCGATATGGCCGTCGATACAAGAGGCGCACTTCCTCTCGATCCACCCTTCGACGTCGTACTGCCCAAGCCCGACGATCCTCCGGCCGGAGCATAGTCGGCCAACGACGCCGGTGAAAATTCCAAGAATGGCGATAACAGCAAGAACGGCGATGACAGGACCGATGGACCCACGGCCATTGTGCGAGGCGTAGGATGGCTGATAAACCATTGATGACGGCGGCGCTGGGAACAGCGGCTGCTGCTGCAGCGACATCGTCTGGAGAGACAGAGAGAGAGAGAGAGAGCGAAGGTGTTTGACGGATGGATTTGGAAGATAACCGGACGGAGAACGCTGCAAGTTGGGATCTTTATTGCAGGTCTTCTGCTGCAGAAAGTACGTAGCATATATACATTTAAAGCAAGAAGCAGTGGTAAACCCGGTGAAGAAAAAGGAATCACTTGCCTGAATTAATTTTCATGGTATTAAGAAAGGAAGGGGAGCGAAAGATTTGCCTTTTACTTCTTATTTCGTCGATGATTGAGAGAGAGAGAGAGAGACAGCTAGGGTATGTAGCGGGAGACTGGGAGTGACGATGGGAGAGAGAACTTGAGAGTGGAAGGAAGGCAAGTGGGAGCGGAGAAAAAAGAAATGACTAGTTGTACTTTGGTTGGACAGTTTGTCTTGCAACTGTGATGGATGTGGGACAGCTGTTCAATACGGTATCCAATGGTTGGGTGTTATTTATTTATTTATTAAATTAATATGTTAATATGTTTGAGAGAAATTATTACCACCGCATGTGGGAACGATATTCAGAGGTCAATCAGAATGTGACATATCTTTAATATATAGCTGTACATTGATATATAGTTCTATATTGTATCAATATACTACTGTTTATTTGGTGACTTATCGTGTTTTGATTGGCCTTTGGAGTTCGATGTTCGCACGTAATAATTTCTCTATTATAATGTGTAATGTAAAAGTTGTTTATGCCTGCATCTCTATTCACACAGATAAGGTTTCATTAGAGAAACAATTGGCAATTTTACAGTATAGTGTACTTTTAGGGTTTGCATATATAATGGTATTAAATTATTTAAAATATAATCATTTAACTTTTACAAATATCATTTTATAAAATTAAATTAATAATTAATATATTTGAATTGTGAAAAAAAGACAATTATTTAATATGCTCTCAATTTTGTTGGTAAGTTTAGAAGAATTATAAATTTGATATTATAAAAGTTAATATTAAAAATATGATATTGTTGGATTAAAATTTAATCATGGAAGATGCTTGACCTTATTAGCAAGTTGAACTAGCGAGTGCACAAGTGACCTGAAAACTTATGGGGGGAGAGAGAGAGAGAGAGAGAGAGAGAGAGAGAGAGAGAGAGAGAGAGAACTATGAAATACTCAAGAAATTATGAGTACTAAAACTGACTGAGTATCCACTATATTAGATTAAAAAGTCCCCAAGTTATTCTTAATCATCCCTTATTTATAGGACTCTTAGAGCTACATGAAGAGCTAGACAGAAAAAGTAAAAAAGTATTACTATACCACTATTTTAGACACTTCTTACCTCTTGATTGGTTGAAGGAGGGCAAGGTCGGAAGGCTTCGATGAGTTTCCCTTAAGCGAGTTCAGTATCACCAAGTAGATGAGGGCTAGTTTGTTCGGGCAAGTATGCAGGCAAGTATTGAGATGAAAAGGGACTAAAAAATGGCGAGCTATTAACGTGGTCAGCAACCTGTACAGAAGCCCTGTGATTGCCTAAGAAGTGAAGGGCGAGTGAGACGTTATCGTGGGAAGGGAGAACTTTGGCATTGATTGGCATGATGAGTTAAACTAGAGGTCCCAATAGTAAGCACTATCATGTAGCAAAGTTTAGGGAAAATAGTTTCCCTAGAAGAGTGCAAGTGACTAAAATATGCTATAAGCATGCGGCGACTGCTAAGCTATTAACTCTTGAGAGGAATCCTTAATTTACTCCATTAAGGGCAAGCACCTAGGAAGGCTCGAGCGAGTGATGTATGTTGGTCTTTTGGGAGAATTCTTTGTTGAGTTTTAGTTGAGTTCCCCTAGTGGACTCCCTCGGAGGGTGAGTCCTCTATCATTACCTGCCAACTACTTGCTAGACACATGTAAAGGCATAAATGAGTATTCATTTAGTTTCCATATTCACTTGGTTCTTTGATTAGCGAAAAGGACAAGAGAATTATATTACATCTTTGTTATAATTTGGGACCCTGATCTTATATTTTGATGATTATAAATATTATTATATGTTTATTTTTTTTCTCCTGCTTTATATATTGCATATTTTTTTGTGTGCATCACTAACATTTCATGTCCAACTTACACAAAACATTATTAAAGAATCAGAGCACAAAAAAGTTTTGCATAGGTTAAACTTATTTTGAAAGAGTCTATAAATTTATTTTTCTTATGTCAATATATGTAATTAGGTGTATGTTAGCTTAATAGTCATGCACACACACATAAGGGAAAAGGAAAATATTTTTAAAATTTTTTGTTAATCATTTATTTGATCCATATCGTACAATACAATCAGTTAAATAGGAATTAATTAAAAATTTTAATTTAAATGAGAGAAATAAATTTGAGTTATAACTAACCATATTGTATGAACAACACATCTTACAAGATGATCAGTTTTTTTCTAGAAATCTTGTTGTCGAATCCAACTTACTTAAAATAGGCAAATTTGAATATTAAAAATTATATTACTTTTACTATATGCATATATTCGTACTGTATGATCTTTAATTAATGTTTCATAATTTAAGTCCAAAGATTCAGGAATTAAATCAGATCTATATTAATTATAGATCATGCTGTTTAATCATGTATTAGATAGTATGAACCAACCGAAAACTCTGTGGATGATGTTTGATTCATCATGTATAATATTATATTTGATTTAAACTAATCGTACTAGATGATTTGTACTTGCAGGATGATCTATGATGACATTGATCTAATTGTGTTATACGATCAAAAAATTTCATTATACAATTTGAGTCAAAAGAATTGAAAATTAGAGTATTTTGAAACTCATTATATATACTATTGTTATAACCTTAATAAGAGTCTTTGGTAGTCATAAATCTATTTCTTCTGTGAGAGTGTTTGAAGAGAGAGCATTGAGTAATAGAGAGAAAGAGTGAGGTTATGTGCGAAGGAGAAGAGTGTTGTGGGATTAAATGAGAAAGGGATTTTCACATGGTAGCTATGGCCAACTTGCACATGAATTTCTTCAAATTTGTTAGTGTTTGTCTTGAGGGGGGGGGGGGGGGGGGGGGGGGGGGTATATGAAGAAGTCTTTGGTGTCAAAGATCGTCGGGTACTTCACCGTACTAAGGAGGTAAAATGGATTTCAACTACTCTGCAACACCAAGGAGGTGAAAAAGATTTTGGCTACTCCACTACACCAAAGAAGTAAAAGAGATTTTGGCTACTCCACCACACCAAGGAGGTGAACGGGATTTTAGTTACTCCACTATGCTGATGAGCTGAAAAGGATTTTAGCTACTCCATCGGATCAAAGAGGTGAATTGAAAGAATATATTCTTAGAGATAGAAGAGTATGTACGTGCTTCTTCACCTAATCGTGGGAAAAAGAATAGTCACTAATGATTAGTGAAATGCTCGAAGAGAGGACCTTTGGAGAGTGGATATAGATCAAGTTGATTGAACCATTATAAATTTTTTATTCTTTTTTTTTGTAATTACTTTCTACAATTTTATTTCCCCGCATATATTTATTCTTACAACCTAGGATGAGTTTGTTTATTTTGTGATGTGAAAATTGGTATGGTTTATTAGGGTTGATATTTGTTTTAAAAGAAATAATATTATAAAGATAAAAAGAGCAAAAAATTATTATTTACTTTTTTTATAAAATCAAAAATACAAAAATAATAGTATTTATTTTAGGTTGTTATTATGTGTTGCCTTAAGCAGTGTATGTCTTACATGTAATGTTAGTGCTCATAGACAGAAGAAATACCTAAAATATTCATTGAGAAAAGTAATAATTCAATCAATAATATTTATCATCATCAAAATCACAAATTAGGGATCCTAGATTGCAACAATTTTCACCTTTTTTATGATGGCAAAAAATATTGGTTGATAGGAAAGATAAAAATTCTTTTCTCCTAAGCTCCCTCTCACTAGGTGATACATTTTAAATTTAGGGGTTACAAATTTTTTATTTTTTATTTTTTTTTTGAAAGACAAGAAAAAAAAGCATAAAGCAAAGTGAAATAAATAGAGGATTCTATTAAACTGAAACATACAAAAAATATACATTTTCTCCCTCTTTTAATACCACCAAAAAGAGGAGGAAAAAAAAAAAGGGAAAAAAAAAAAAAAAAAAACAAAGTGGGGGCGATCCTAATCAGGTGGTGGTGATGGTTGAAAGTATTGATGGATGGAGGAAAATTGATTGTCAACTGAAGAAAACCTTTCTCTGAATCATTTCATTTATTCCTCATGTTATTATTATTGTTGTTGTTAAATGTGATAGCCACACCTAGTTTCTAATCGCTTGAGTCGCTGAATTATGTTGTCATAAAGGTAGGAAAGGTAGGTAGGTGCACGTGGTGGTATTGGTGGCGGTGTAGGTCCACCTGCAGGAGCGGCTTCCCCTTCTTCAACAAACTCTGGCTCATCGTTGTGCCCCCGATGGAAAAGGATACAAACGGAGGCATCCGTATAGAAAAGGGGAACATTATCAGGAGAATCAGGAAAGTTGATTAAGTATTTTTTTTCTAGGATATATCTCATGATGTATCATAAGGAGATAATTTGTTTTCTTCGAGTTTTAAGATATCAAATATGAGTCATATTTTAGATATAATCAAGAATCATTTGGGCTTCATCACATTGGGTATTCAACATTATTAGGTAGGTGACTATGGAAAGAAGTGGGGTTATATTAACCCAATCCCCAGCTTTGGGTATAATTGATGTCCTAAGGACATGATAGATAACCCTTGCATTTTGATTTAAGGTGAGGACAAGTGGTTGATGTTGGTTTATAGGAATATTCCTAATCGAGTAGACATAACTCCAGTCAAAGTTAGTTGTAGATATAAGGGATTATGGATAAGCTCCTTTGGTAGAAGGACTGATATGTTCCCCTAAATCTTCCTTAATGATCTCTATAAATTGGTTGAAAACATATGAAGTCATGACAGATGTTTCCAAATTTAGTCTAAGGTTGGATAAGAATTCATAAAGTAGTTTAGGGTTGAAGGAAAAAGCTAGTGTGAGGAGAAAATAAAGGGTGGTGGGAGAAATGCAATAAAATCAATTTAGAAGAAACCTAACAGTTAGAACCAAAATCTTAGAAAATAAGAATATGATAAAAGTAACTTACCATAATCTAAGCAATTTTTATAGAAGCGACAAAACAAATGAGCAACCAAAATGAAGACTTCTCATTCCTCTCTCCTTTTCTTCTTCCTTCCATTTCCTTCTCATGCAAACTGACACTACTGGCGTGAGTGGTGACAAATAGATAGAAAGGCGTATAAAAATATATTTTAGTATGTAGCGTCATAGCGTCACTACCCAAAGATGCAACAATGCACGTTGAATCTAAAATTAATATAAAATAAAGCCTTCAGTGCCACAATGGTAACTTCTTG